GATGGTTCATACTTGGCTGAGTTCCTGCTGGAGAAAGGCTATGAGGTAAGTAACTAACTAACTCAGTGGGCCAGTAGTTGGGCGACTACTGGGATCCAACAGCTTGCTTCTGCTGCATGTTCCTGTGTGTACCTTCGGTGGAAACTCTGGGCCTGGGCACTGTCCCTGAGCTCTTCAGCTCAAGGGTAGCACTCTATCACTTAAGCCACAGCGCCACTTCCCAAATAAGAATCTTGAGGCAGACTTTACCATTGTGCCTGTTATACTACCAACTCATTGTGCTGTTTTCTGGTAAGCCCTGATGACATATCCTTCCTGATACCTTCTACATTCCTGAGAAAATAGCAGTCTGTGCAAGCCCAACAGTAATATTATAAAGGCTGATTTATGATGCAGTGAGTACATAAAATTCCTATTCATGATGAAATCATTTAATTTGGAAATTGCATAAAGCAATAAAAATCAAGTTGATTTTTGGCATGCTTGAGTGCAAAATTTACACATGGAGGTTTTTTACTTTCTAAGAGGCAGCCATAACTTTTATGGAAGCTGCAACTTTTAGGTGTACTGCAGCTGTCATCATCAACTTGTTTTGTTCCTTCAATATTTTCTCCTTTACCTCAAAGAATAGTTTTACATTAAATTTGATGTACTTTATTGTGTGTATTTCACTTTGTTAGAAAGTTTTTTCATATATAGACAGTGTATGAATTAAGAAACTGACAGTGGACTGTATGCTATGACCTGCTTTGCTCATGTTTGCATTAATAGTTTTTCATTGTCTTTTTATTCTAATTGTAGGATATTGCATAAAAATATGAAGTTGGAAAAATGGAAAAACAAAAGAAAGAAACATGGCATCTAGATGCCAACAGGATTTGAAGAAAAGAAAGTTAATTTTCTTACTTTACCTCAATCTTTTTGAGAGCCTTGACTTTTAGACTTTAAGAAGTTATAGCAGAGCTGAGAGCATGGCTCAAATGTAGAGAGCTTCCTACTCAGGGTAAAGCCTTGAGTTTAAAACTCAGTATTACAAAACAGCAACAACAACAAAAAAAACTAAAAAAAAAGCCCTTCCTCAAATAAAAAGTCATAGAGAATTTTTTATCCCATTCTGTACTCATATAATAGTAATCGTTCTCTAGCTTACAATATTCAAATAAGATGAATGCAATTATGAAAGGACATATGTACATATTTTCATATGATGATATTACTGTAATAATCAAGAGTCTGCATATATTGCCTGGCAGAATAATCAAAGAGTAATAATGTAATTATCAAGAGTATATGTATTTATGTACATACACTGCATATTCTGTAGAGCAGGAAGTTTTAGAGCAGGTCATATAGTGCAAGAAGTGATTTTAAAAGAAGTTCTATGTACTCAGACTGGATTAACTTTATGCTTTGATAAATATTAGAAGGAAAGGTACACTTTCTGATATGTGGCATGTGCTGGGAAGTAGCCAATGAAGTCAGTGAGGCTCAAATGAACCAGATTAAGGAGCTAGTTGAGCATTCATTCTTGAAGTTTTGAAGGGGGAGGTGGTGTTTCAAAAGTGATGTTCCAAATGCATGGGTGTTGTGACATAAGTTGAGGAGTGGAGATGAAGTGTCAAAGGCAGGATCTGTGCCTAGTATAGAAAAAAGGAAATATGTCTGTGTGCTGTGATAAGGGGTGGACTAGTGGGCGTTAGTCTGGATATACAGATTCACAGGCAGAAGAGCTGCTGTTACTGGAAGTCTGAGATGGAGACTTGCATGTAGAAACACCATTCAAGTGTCTCTCATTAATGAACTAGAAGACTTCACTAGGCAAATGGATGAAAGAATTGGAAACAGAATAATGAGAGCCAAGGACTATCTAGGAGCTGCAAATATTTGCATTCCTTTGACATTTAAATTATAAGAGCAGATTTGATTCTGATACAGAAAGACAATAGAAGACTCAAATGGAAAAATCACAGTCAACTGGGAGGAATTTCTCATAGAAATAATGATTGCCAAAGAAATGGGTCTATAGTTCTCTTTCTTTGATGAGTCCCTGCCTGGTTTTGGGATGAGGGTTATGATGGCTTCATAGAATGTGTTCGGTAGTGAACTTTCTCTTTCAATTTCATTGAAGAGTTGGAGGAGTATTGGTGTGAGCTCTGCTTTGAAGGCCTTGTAGAATTCCGCTGTAAAACCATCTGGTCCTGGACTTTTCTTAGATGGGAGGTCTCTTATTGCTGTTTCTATTTCAATGCTTGATATGGGCCTGTTAAGATGGTTTAACTCATCTTGGTTTAGTGTCAGCATGTCAATATTTGCTAGGAAAAGGTCCATTTCTGCCAAGTTCTCAAACTTATTAGCATAAAGGTTTGAGAAGTATTCCCTTATAATGTTCTGAATCTTGGTTGTTTCTGTGGTGATGTTTCCATTCTCATCTCTGAGTTTATTTATTTGGGTGTGTTCTCTTCTTTTTCTGATAAGATTTGCTAAGGGTCTGTCAATTTTGTTAATTTTTTCGAAGAACCAACTCTTTGTTTTGTTTGGATTCTAATACATTTAATTCTGATTTAATTTTAATTATTTCTTTCCGTCTACTGTATTGGGGTTTATCTTGCTGGTCTTTTTCAAGGAGGTTCAGATGTCTCATTAAATTGTTGGTTTCAGATCTCTCCAATTTGTTAATGTAGGAACTCAGAGCTATAAACTTGCCCCTGAGTACTGCCTTTGCTGTGTCCCAGAGGAGCTGGTAATTTGTGTGCTCATTTTTGTTGAATATCATGAACATTTGAATTTCTTTTCTAATCTCTTCCATGACCCACTCATGATTCAACAGTGTTCAGCCTTCATGTGTTACCGGACTTTCTTTGGTGGCTTTTGGTGTTGAGTTCTAATTTTATTCCCTTATGGTCAGAGAGAATGCAAGGTATAACTTCAATGTTTCTGAATTTGGACAAGTTTGCTTTGTGGCCTAAAATGTGGTCTATTTTAGAAAATGTTCCTAAAACAACAGATACTGGAGGGGATGTGGACAGAAGGAAACCTTACTACATTGTTGGTGGGAGTGTAAACTTGTTCAACCACTTTGGAAAGTAGTATGGAGGTTCCTCCAAAGACTCCACAAAGAGCTCCCCTATGACCCAGCAATCTCACTTTTGGCATTTACCCAAATGTTTACAAACAAGACCACACTAAAGCTACCAGCACGACTATGTTTATTGCAGCACAATATATTTACTATAGCTAAGATATGGAACCAATCCAGATGCCTCTCAGTAGATGAATGGATCAAGAAAATGTGGTATATATACACAATGGAATTCTATGCCTCCATCAGAAAGAATGACATTGTCTCATTTGTTAGGAAATGGAAAGGCTTGGAAAAATTATATTAAGTGAAGTAAGCCAGGCCCAAAGAAACATAGGTCCCATGGTTTCCCTTATTTGCAATATCTAGTATATGTCTGAGTCAAGCAGAAAAGGTCAGATAAGGTGATGTTAGGGAAATGAACCCTAAGATATGTATTCAAATGTTTTTTTTCTTTCATGCGATTGTTTCTAACACATAAGAATATTTCTTTGTTGCTTTGTATGTCCCTCCCCCACAGTATAACCCCTGCTTTCACTGTATTTGATGTCGGTATAATTTGTGGAGGGGAGGGGGAAAAACAAATTGTTTAAATAGGGATACAGGTGGACCCATTGCAACAATGAGATGTACAAGTCGTTATGTCGAAAAATGAACTTTACAACTTTGGTGTGTGTGTGGGGGTGGTGGTGGTGGTAGCGGGGAGGATTGGTTGGGGGGCGTGGGGTGGGGGGGAGGATGGGAAGGGTTGGGAAGGGGAAACAAAGGAGGAGGCTACAATGCTTGATAAGAAATGTACTCATTATCTTGGCCATGTAATTGTAACCCCTCTGTACAGTATTTTCACAATAAACAAAAAAATAATGATTGCCCACAAATTGATAGGAGAAAACGTGACTGACACTATAGTGAAGAGATACAGATCCACAAAGCATGAGTAAAATCAGATGTCCCTCAGATACAAGTCCTTTGTGTAGTATAAAAGGTGTATATGGATGGTGGGGGGGGGGGGCGTTAACCGTACAGTATTCAACTTTAATAGGCTACTGTCCTCAACTTTAAGAGATTGATATAATAGGAGAATAAGCTGTCAAGAGGACTCTGATGGGAGTAAGGCTATATCTTTTTATGCTTTGGTTACAACAAATGTTAGAGTGACTTTTTTTTTCAAATTAAATCATTGGAAAATTTCTATGATTATCAGCTGCAGAGCTACAGTCTTTGATTACTCAATGACTATAAGCAGGAGAATATAATTAGTAGATGTGTAGTGGGGCCAGAGGGGGACATACCTGGCCACACCTTAGCCAAGAGGTTAATAGCAGGAATTTTGGCCAAGTACAGACATGAATGAGTTTTTAATCTTTAATGTACATCAGTATTACCTAGAGGTCCTAATGAAACACCAAAGACGGGTTAGGAATTCTGGGAATTGTTATTTATAACATTTTTACCCAGGTATTGCTGCAGCTACTTTCTTGCAAACTATAGATGCAGGACCACTGCAACTAATGGTTCAGGTGAGGCAGACAGACTAGTTCCATCACCAAATTCCTTGCTGAGCTATTTCAAATCTGTTCTGTTTATCATGAATATCAGAAATATTGGAAATAGAGCAGCAGAGTGCTAGCCAGGAACATCTAAATGTTGTGAAAAATGTGGCTTGTTGAAACGGAATTGTTATAGGAAGGAAGGAAGTACACATTAACTGGGTAGCAATGTCAGTGTCAGTTTGGTACATAAAAGAAGAAAGTAGAGCAGGGTCAGGTCCCAGGGGCAGAAATGATGAAGTAACATAGGCAAGAACAAACCTTATATGTAGATTTAGCATAGAATAGTAACTGTACTCTTTTACTTTTTCTCTAGTCAAAAAATAAGAGAGTACTGAAGACTTAACTAATGTTAACTCAAAAGCAGGCACTTCTGAATGGCTTGAGAAGGAATAAATCAATAAATTGATTCGTAATGGTTAATGACCTGTGTGGCCATACACATTTTTAGATTCCTGAAGCTGTGGGGCCCTGGCCATTTAATATAGCCATTGAACTCTATTTGATCATGTTTTAAATGCCCATTTAAAGTGAAAAAGTAGACATCCTTTGGTATCTATAGGGTATTGGTTCCAGGACCTCCTGTGGATACCAAAAGGTATCTCAGGATGTCCAAGTCACTTATATAAAATGATATAGTATTTGTGTCTTATGTATATGCTTTTATATACATTTAATCATCTGTAGGATAGTTATAGATAGATATAGAAGAGAAATACATGACAGATTACAGTTTTATTGTTGCTTGTTTCTTGAATTTTATTCAGGATTAAGCATTAAGAACAAGTAACAAGGTTGACAAGAAATGTACTCATTACCTTACTTATGTAACTGAAATCCCCTTGACAATAAAAAAAATAAAAAAAATAAGAACAAAGAGAATACAATACTTGGATACAATACTTACTCTTTTATTTTTTTATTTTGGCTTTGTGGAGCTTGATCCCAGGGCCTGGGTGCTGTCTGTGAGCTTGTTTGTTCATGGCTAGTGCTCTACTACTTTGAACCACAGCATCACTTCCCATTTTTTGTTGGTTAATTGGAAGTGTATCTCATGGGCTTTCCTGCGTGGTTGAACAATGATTCTCAGATCTCAGCCTCCTGAGTAGCTAGGATTACAGGCATGAGTCACCAGCACCTACAAATACCCATTTACAGTGAGGAAAACCAAGAATACTGAGATTTTATGGAAAATTGCACTGTAAATATGATATGTACTTAATGCTGCATCTTGCTAAACTTCAAAGGCCTTTCTATTTTATACCCTGTTAAACAGCAGAGAGCAAAAGCACTATACAAGTAGTCCAGCCTTCATGGCAAGGGAGCCTTGGAAAACATCACTGGATGGTCCATGTCTTAATTCTCTTCTGCCATTGGTGACTCTTAAACAAATTCTTAATGTATATTGGGATCGTGCGCACATCTGTCTCCCAAGGTAGTTGTACAATTGTGAGAGAACATAGAAAATATTTTAGCAGTGGAGCTCTGCGGTATGCAAAGAGCTTGTAGATGCATGAGTAACTAAGGCAGTTTGTGATGCTGACAAGCCAGGAGACACATGATGTAGAAAGTTCCTTAGATCAATTCATTAATAGTATTGCTGGAAAGCAGCTATTTTCTCTAGCCTAGGATGCTATAGTGATATATGTTCTTTCCATTGTCATAGAAAAAGAAAACCACCACAAGTGAAACATTTTATGGAACACAATCTAGTTTTAAGTGCTTGTCAGCAACCACTATTAGGAGATGAGCTGAAAACATACTGTCACCAACTTGCTTTTGTACCCATTTTACACTAAGGTAATTGAGAGAAATAAAAGAGAAGTGAAAGTTGAACTCTCTAAAAACATTTATCTGTAAATATATGAAAAGTCCATGTTAACATGACAAGGACAATGATAACATTGCATATTAGGATTTTTTTTCAAGAAAAAATGTTTGTTTTCAGATTTGTATTTTATATTTATATTTAAAGGGCCCTTCTTGACCACTTGACATTTTTTCTTAAAGATCTAAATGATGGTATTTACAATAAAATGGCTTCTATTTCTAGGTAGATAGCTAGAATTTTCTATTCATTAAAATTTTTTTATTGTAAAGGTAATGTACAGAGTGGTTCAGTTACATTAGTAACTGCACATCGTGTACATAATGAGTATATTTCTTTTGAACAGTGTTGTCCCCTTCCTCGTTTTCATCAGTTTCCCCCTCCCCTGGCAGCTCCCACCCTCAAGTTGTAAAGTTCATTACCAACATAATGTCTGGTAAGTCTCACTGTTGTATTTGTTTATCCTTTGTCCTACTGTTTCTGTTACTCCCCTTCCCTTCTCCAAATCAGATAAACTTATATACAAGACAGAAATAAAAAACAGTAACAACAGGGAATAAACCAAAGGAACAAAAAGAAAGAAAAAAGAAATCAGAATTTAAAATAAATAATAGGTACATATATTGTGAGTATCCCTTCCAAACAATTCCATATTCACCTGCTCTAAGGTGGAATATAAAAATTAGTAAAGAAATGGGATACAAGAATTGTACAGCTGTAATCTCTGGGAGATGTTAATCTATGGAGTTACTGTATTTCTTTTCTTGATCTGTAGAATCCATGGATTTTTGGTTACCCCAGAAAGTTGAGTGCTTTTTTTTTTTTTTTTAAATCGGTTTCATTTAGAAAATGTTCCCAGTACCAGGAGGGGTGAGCAAAATTATCATTTAACACTACCACTTATTGTTGACTGTCTGATCCCAAGTACTGTACTCAGCTGAAGAATGGGAGGAATAGTAGTATAATTGTTGTGAAGAGTAGGGGATTTTATATATAAAAGACAAAGGATAGTTGAAGGCTGATAAATGTTAGCTGTTGACACTAACTAGGTAATGTATACTTTCTGAAAAGTGAGTGGCATTAACCCTGTCTAGGAGATATCCTATGTTAAGAAAATTTAGACAATAAAGAATTTGAAATCCAAAGGTAGGCATTTGCCATTTTAATCATAGAAAATAAATAATAAAACACCTTTTATAGTATGTAATTTGACTGTAGTGTTGGAAATAAGATCAACTTTGTTCTGACACTTAGAGAACCTAAAATTTCCCTCTTCATCACCTAGTTTGCTGGGACATGAAATTTATAAAAACAACCTCTTCCTTTTTTTTAATTTTTGTTGTTATTGGTTGTAGGGCTTGAACTCAGGGCCTAGGCCCTGTCCCTGGGCTCTTTTGCTTAAGGCTGGCATTCTACCACTTTGAACCACAGCACCATTTCTGGTTTTCTGGTAGTTAATTGGAGATAAGAGTCTCACAGAGTGACTTTCCAGCCCAGGTTGGTTTGAACCACAATCCTCAGATCTCAGCCTCCCATTTAACTAGGATTTCAGGCATGAGCCACTGGTGCCTGGCTTTCCATTTATTTTAAGACCTCAGTTTTTTAAAATTGTATTTCGTGTTTGAACTACTGTAATTTAATAAGCATTCTGCTTATGTTTACATAGTTTTGTTTTTTTTTTGTTGTTGTTTTTTTGGGTCCGGTCGTGGGGCCTGAATTCTGGGCCTGGGCGCTGTCCCTCAGCTCTTCAGCTCAAGGCTAGCACTCTACCACTTGAGCCACAGCACCACTTCCGGCTTTTTTCTTTTTGTTTATGTGGTGCTGAGTAATCGAACCCAGGGCCTCATGCATGCAAGGCAAGCTTTTCTACCACTGAGCTACCTTCCCAGCCCCTACATAGTTATTTAACTCATTTATCTTTTCAGTCTGATTTTCTAACCCTTACCTCTCTTTTCTCCCAAAATCTGTATAAAAACAAACAAAAAGACCCTACCTGCATCCTTTCTATAAAGAAAAAGCTGCTAATTTCAAATTTTTAACTAGATTACACAGTTTGCACACATTTGGCTTGTCTTAAAGTTTGTATTTCATGTGTTTCAGAAGCAGACAGACTTAGCTTTCACTAGTTCTTAGAATAATACTTGCTGCCATGGACTAATCATTTGGCAGGTCTTTTTTTTACCAAAAATTAAGAGTGAGGGAGAATTTAAAACCTGTTTGTTTCATTAGGGAAAAGGAAACAAAACAAAACAATACAAAAACTCTGGTGCTTAATGCTTTTCATTGTAAGTGTGACATTAAGGTCCTGAGTTACTGATTTGATGTGATTTTTGTATAGTTGTCTACTTTTCACGTGGAATCATCAAGATGACTTCATATTTTTATTGACGTCTGTGTGTCTATATTTTTATTTTCTTTCTCTTTTGGATTGTTGATAAAATAGAAATTCCTCTCTTGAATACAGTAAAACACATTGGAGAAATATGTATTTCAGAAATAAGTTTGGCAGTAAATACCAAGTTTCTTGAGTATAAGAATATATGTAAAATAGTTTTTTATTAAAAAATTACAAATTTGTACTGTTTTTCAACTTTATGATTGAGTAACAACTTAAAAAAAACCAGAGAATGTGAAATAGAATAAATACTAAATTCAATATTAGTTTCGTTTTCTACACTTCTAAATTAAGAAATGTCTATGCATAGCAAATCTCAATTTAATGTTTCCTAGATTATAATGTTTGCCTCCTAAAATGTCAACCAACATTTATCAACTTTTCTTGGGTTCATTCTTTGAGAAAATAGTGTTAGTGAATGCTTTTTTATTGGCTAAAGCAACCAACCAACAGACATTAGTTGTGGGTATGTTGCATCCTTTACAGAAGTTAGTTTCTCGTGAATGCTATGTAAAATGATGACATTTCTTTCCATTTGAAGAAAGACTTATGTGCTTATAATTTCCTCTTTGCATTTGGAATCTTTGAGTCATGTCATGGATTAATTTGGTTTGAGATAGAAAATGATTGAATTAAAATATAGGAGTATATTCAGCTGCAAATGAAGCTATCCAACGTTGGAAAGAACACATAAAATAAATCAAAGATTAAAACTGCCACCAGTGGAACTGGAACTTGGGCAGCTGGTGACATAAACTGGTATTAGCACTGGCAGCACAAAGAAAGTAATCTTGAAGGAAGTAGAACCAGATCTGTAATAATTTCTCTTATGTATTAGATACAAATAGTTTTTCTTCAGTGTCAGATTTGCATTCTTGTTCAAGAGATGTTATCCCCTCACATTGATTACTATAATGTCAAGAAAAAATTTTAACTTATTTTCATCTTAGTTTTTTATACCTTAAATCTAGTAGTTTGTAACCTAAGCAGTTTAATTTTCTGATTTTTTCACACAGCTGTGTAATAGCAAATATCCAAATGTATCTGTAGCCCTAGAAATCTATGTAAGATGCAACACACGACTCTCCTAAAACACTAGAAAGATGTGGAAGCCTCTTGCTCTGTGTTAAATAAGCCACAAGCAAGTTTTCCAGATGTTTCCTTAGATGGTCTGTCTTCAGTTTCAAATTGAGAAGATATATTTGTCATCAGTTAGGCTACAAGTGTGGATGTTTGGAAAAGGAGACATTTGAGTATCTACAAGTATGAAGTCATGTAATTATCTAATTACTTCAGTTAAGATTAGCAGAGAAAACACTGGAGAAAGGTAGGTGCTGGTAGCTGTCAAACAATGAATGGGGAAAAGTAGGCCAAGGAACAGTATCTTAACTATTTATGCATAATATTTATAAGTAATATTTATATTTTTCATAGAACCATACCTTAGAAAAAGAGCTTCTGAGTTGCTTACTCTCATTGCATATTTATAAATTTATATAACTTTTTCCACACTTAAAAACTCAGGTCCATGGAATTGTTCGGCGATCCAGTTCATTCAATACAGGTCGAATTGAACATCTCTATAAGAATCCCCAGGCTCATATTGAAGGAAGTAAGTAATTTTCTTTTTCTAAAATATCTATCTTCAGATAAAATGTTTTCAAATGTCATTTTTCTCAAAGTCCATTTAGTTACAGTTTTTCTCTTATAATCAGGTATGTCCTACACACCTATTGTTTGCTATCCTAGGACAGTCTTCTTGGTTTGCCTGTTGGAAGAATATTGGATAAATGGTTCAGAGACCAAGAAAAGACAGCTTTGGTGTCCTTGTCTCCTTATGTAGGAATGGTTCAATTTTATAAGAATACTCTTCCTTTTTTTATATTTGACTTGTTTTACTCCAATTAATCAGTCTTTGGACATTTAATTAATTTTAGAAATAATTTGTGAAGACTGATCTGAGTCTGATGACCTTATAATGATCTGCTGTACACATCTGTCTGGATTTGAAGATCTTATTATTTTTATTATAAATTTGCTTGTTTAAAGCTGTGTAGTTTATACAATGCAAACACAGTATTTTCTTATTTGATTATATATATATATATATACACACACATATTTATTTATCAATCAACTTCTGAAGTTGATAGGGAGGCCATTTTGCGTATTAGGAGATGGAGAGAGACTGTGATTTTGACAAGATGGCAGAGCTGGGACTAGGTCATAGGATCTTTAGCTCCAAGTTCAGCTTAAATTACTTAGCCAGTTTTTAGCTAACAATATGACACAGACAGCTTGTAATTCACAAGTAATTTTTTTTTTATCATTCCCAAGCCCCTGATATTTGGGTTATTATATTAGTGGTAAATTTCCAGGAAGATGGTCTAATTATTTATAGAAAAGACTTCCTTCTGTAATATTTTAGTCATTAAGTGTATTTTTCTTGAAAATTAGTAAAGGCTGAGTATCACTTATCTAAAATGATTGGAACAGTTTTTTTTGATTTTTGAATTATTTCAGCTTTTAGAATATTTGCATATATATGTATATTGTATATATATATACACACATCTAAATATTTATTTAAATGCATTTGTTTTACATATAACATGCACATAACCTGGATGTATTTTGTGAGTGTGTATATGTGCTGGTGTTGGGGATTGAACTCAAGGCCTGGGCACTGTCCCTAAGCTTCTTTTTGCTAAAGGCTAGCCTCAGCTCCATTTACATCTTTTTTTTTTTGATAGTGAATTGGAGATAAGAGTATCAT